CTACTGGTAGCGAAGTCAGTGGAGCTAGTGGCAAACCGAGCGATGCCAATAATGATAGTGGGACCAGTGGTAAACCGAGTGGCGCCAGTGGTGGCAGTAGAATGATGTCGTCAATGCCAACCGTAGCATCAGACAGACCTAGTCGAAGTTCACCAACAAGGGACATTACTTCTAGTCATACTAGTAGTGAGAACCCATTGGCTGACGGACGACCAAAAAAACCGGTCGACGCAGCATTTTCTGATTCACACTCTGCTGAACCAGTAAGCCCTCTCTTGATGAGTGAGCCAAGTTCCCAGGCTAAAGAAGAAGCAATAACCGAAGTAAAAACACTGGCATCAGAAGCAACCGAATTGAGTAAAAAATCAGAGCAGCAAGTTTCGAGCATAGTCAAGGAAGATGAATTAGTATTGTCAGAAATGATAACATGTTTAGCAACAGCAACTACAATCAACAATAAAATTCAAGCAGCAATGAACACTCTACAGCAAATGGCCGCGAACAATATGAAAAAAGAAATCGATAGTTTAGCTCAAACAACGTTATCTCAAGTTATCGAAACATCATTGCAGTTGTATCAATCCTTGGAGGTAATTGATAAATGTTCAGGCGACGTCAATGGTCATATAAAACGAAAATGTCAAGAAATACAGAAGGATTTAATTCAAGTTTTAGATAAGCTCAGTGGATCAGATGCCTTGCGCAAAATGTGTAAATTAAGTAAGAAAAATGATTTGGTTGATGATTACAATATACCTGAAGATGGAAATATTTCTGACTTACCTGATCAAGTACAAGGCCAGCAACAAAGAACAAATCTCGATAATATCAAACAACTTCTGCAAGGATTTGAAGATTCGAAATTTGAACAAGGTCAAATAATCGGCAACCCGGTATTACATAAATTAGGCATTCAGTTGAATAGTCTTTTATCAAATCATGAAAATGAGTTGAATTCTGTGTTTGACGATGGTAACGGGGATATTGAGAAATCTGATGATGATCAGCAAACATCTGCAACAGAGGGTTCAACGACCGCCAATCGTGATGTGACCCTAGTGATAGATGATGAAGGAAGAGTTGAAAATTCCGAACCAGAAAAAACTTTACCAAAAGCAGAGATCAAACCTGGTGGTACAGTTCGAGTTCAAGTTGGCAATGAAGTCGGTCCAAATCCTGCAGCCACCGACACTAAAACGAAAGATGAAAATAAAACAGTAAAAATTAGTAAAAAAGACTTGGATAAATTGAAAGAACGTTCCGACAATATGTATGCAAGTCTTCTTCAATCAGTTAATAAGTACGATATTGGAAAGATCAGTGAAAATTGTGATCCTGAACATATACCCGATACCAAATTAGATAAGCCTCGATATGCACTATTGGCTCGACTTACACGAAATATTCAAGGTATGTTATTAACACGTTTACGTTCAGCATTAACTAAACAATATAGTAAACAACAAACTGAACAAGACGATCTACAATTTGAATTTGTATTTTGCGTCGATAATAGTGGAAGTATGAGTGGAAAGAAAATACGAGAAGCATTGACTACATTGGTGATTCTTATGGAAACATTTCATCGTCTCGAATGGAAATTTGCTGTCCTTCGATTTGGCGCTGAACAAAAAATCCTTAAATCTCTAGGACATGAATCGATGTATGATACTGTTGAATCAGGAACAAGCGGAACTACCACCACTGAAACACTTAGTCTTCAAGAAAAACAATTGGCACGAGGTCAGTACATTCTCGAATCGTTTACTACGGATGAGAAAACACTACCTGCAACGGCTTTGAAACAAATAGCTGAAAATAAAGAACTTTTCGGTAGTAGAGTGAAACCTTATGTCAAACGTTTTATAATTATGATCACTGACGGTATCTCAGCTCAAACAGATACAGACCTATTTACAACTCAATTACAAAACGCACATGCAGATCTTTATATGGTTTGTATTATACCCGAATTACCGAAATCTGACGATAGCAAATATTCCGACGACTATAAGAAATTTGCTCTTGAACACGAGAAAAAAGCGAAAGAATTCATACAACGTGTAGCACCTGAACGAAATCAATTAATTGAAATCGGACAATTGGATACTTTAACAAAAACCGTTGTTGCTGATCTCATTGGCATTATTGAACAATCGATTTTGGATTATACAAATCTTTCTATTGCTCGTCAAACTACTACATCGACGAATAATGCAATTAAATTTCAACCATTACACGCCTTCACAGTATCGGATGTAAGAAATGTCGATTTATGGAGACATCCAGAAATTGCATACGCCGGTCAATTCTATGTAAACGATTCCAGACAAAAACTTGAACAGCAAGCACTACAACAACAAATGGATATTGACTTTTCAATTGCTTCAAATGAATTCATAGAAAATGTTGATAAAACAATGGAGGGACTTGAAAAAAGCTATTCAAATTTGGAACTGCATGACAACATACTTGTTGATACAGATAAAGTCTTACAACAAATTGAACAACAACTCGAAACATATATTGGTGAAATGGTACGAACAATGGAAGACAATGTTCTTCCAGCTTATAAACCAACACAATCTCTGCCAGATACAAGAGGCAATCGATTATTCATTCCAGGTATTGTTAAATTTATTTGCACCCAAGGACAATACAATAGAATCTATTTAAACCAAATTGGTTCACAAAAACCAGAATATCGTATTGCGATTCTTCTTGATCAATCGGTATCGATGACTGGACCAACATATTTTTCATCTGTCGACATGTTGCTTTCCATTTGCGCAGCATTGAACAAAATAGGCATTGAAGATTTTAATGTTTTGACATTTGGAAAACGTATAGAACTAATCAAGAGTTACAAACAAAATTATGATCGATTATTCGTACATCATCTATTGAAAGCATTAAAAATTGATGGTGAAACAACATTGTTAAGTGATGCCATTTTTGCTGCATCCGAATTACTACAACAACAATCGACATATAACAATAATCATGGACCTATGTTTATTTTTGTTTTAACTGATGGTTATGATAAACGTGGAAGTTTCATACATCGTATCATTGCTCATGCAGAAAAACTTTCAATTACAGTTATCGGCATTGGTCTTGGTCTTGAATCAAATGGTGTCTGTTTGTCGTTCAATGATTGGATTATTGCACAAAATCCACGTCTAATTTGTGATGCATTAATTAACTGGTCGAATGAACAAAGTGATGGACGAACACCGAATGATCCATTATATCATTTAGATAAGACATCAACATTTATTGGGGATGATAGTAAGGTCTATTCATCGCCAGCACAAGTATGGAATGAAGAAATGAAAACACATTTTGATGCTATCACGCAAAATACGAAACGTACAATTGATTTAACATTCTCAACCAATGTTCATAATACACCACTAACCGTTGAAATTTGTTTCGTGATGGATTGTACGGGTTCAATGGGAAATTGGATTGAAGCTTGTAAAAAATATATCAAAGCCATTGGCGATGGAATACAGAAAGATATGAAAGAGAAATTCGACAAAAATAGTGTTCTACGAATGGCATTTGTTGCCTATAGGGATTTTAACGGCTCAAACCGTTTTGATACTATCGATTTCCATCAGGCGCCTAATATTTATCCAGTTGAAACCAAAATTGCTAGTCAACAAGCTACTGGTGGTGCCGATCTATGTGAAGATGTTCAAGGTGGATTAGATAAAGCATTGAAATTGAGTTGGACAAAGGATGGTAGTTCACGAGCAGCACAGATTTTAGTGTGGGTCGGTGATTGTCCTGGACATACATCGTTTTGTCATAATGGAGGTTCTGGGTGGGATAGCTATCTTGGTGGTTTACCGGATGTTCCTTTAATGGTAGATCTAATTAATGAAATAAAAAATCGTGGAATCTTTCTGTTGCTATCCGATTTCACCGACTACGTAAAAACAATGATAGAAAACATCGAAAAAATCTATGTAGCTGATAAGAAACAAAATCAAGTTAAACGAGTCAAACTGGACCAAAACGATACATCATCATTATTGAAAGAGATTACAGAACAAGTAAATACGATTATTGCCAGCGAATTCATGTAACCGGATGAACTGAACATGATGATTTTCTTTTTTCTGATTAGCTTTTATTCTGTTCTCTCATTTATTCATTTAATTAAGAAATAAATATCTAGTTCGGAAAATTTAAAAATAAATATTTCGAATAGGTTGACTAATCAAGCGCATTTAAATTCTAAAAGATGTAAAGCAATTGAATCCAATTTTTTTTGTTCAGGAATGTGGATGTGGGTGTCGGTGTCGGCCAAGAGGAGACCCACATCCATACCACAAACCCGCACCCGTACACCCACACACACCCACACCCACACTTCGGCATAAGTTTAAGAAAATGAGTCTCAATAAAGAAAGATTTGCATAAACTGAAAATTTCTTTAGGTGGTCTTTGAGCAATGACACAACATAGAAGTCATTTTAGCTCACAAGCACATGTCTTTGTTTACTGTTTAAAATGTTGCGGCCTGCTTTTTAGAAGATTTATAAAAATCGAATATATTTTGCTACTAGTATATGGATAGAAGTCTGTCAAACATGTGCTTTTAAAGTAGAAATCAAGTTCTATCTAATAAAAGAAAAAGAATTATCTTTCTATTATCTTCTCTTCAAATAGAACAGTCGGATATTTTTCCAGGAACTTCTGCAATATCCGTTATATTTAAAACTACTATCAAACAGAGATTAATAAAGGATCAGTTTTGTAATGTTGGAGTTTTTCCTTCATTTTGAGTCCTTTTTTTATGATCTCGAAGATTGAAAGAAGACCATCCTACTTTTCCTCTTTTTTTATTTTTACATCGATCCTCTCTACTCGTCTTTTTTCATGAACCCTCAATGGGAGGCCAGAAAGAAATCAAAGAAACCATATTATTAAAACAATGCATATTATGCAGAACTATTAATGATCAATGTTTATCTTATTTGATAAAAGTAAAATGATTCTCACTTTGAATTTAGACATAATATATTATAGAAAGAAAAGATTTATTTGCATTATTGTAATTTTATTTCTATCTACCGACATACTTATGAAAATGAATTTATTCGATACAAATTATAGGATAATTTGTAATAGTTACCGTCTAAGAATACTGATGGTCTTAGAAATATTTTCAATATTTATCAATAGAAATTCAAACGATCTATTTTAAATAAATCTTAGAATTCTATATAATATTTAAGGCTTTTTCTGTAATCGGAACAATAAATGTCATATCAGGAAATGGAATTTCTAATCGTATGCAAGGAACTTAACGTGATGCACAATTTGGTCAATCTCTTATATCAGTTATTTTCTATGGATTTGGAATATTCGTCACTTATCGATATTATGAAATAGGTTTACGAGTGGTATGTTTTTACTTTTAATAGCTATACTATTCTTATCATATATAATTCAAGTAAAATAATTTTATTCTAATCGAAAAAAAGAGATTTGATTCGAAAAATTTTTTCGAAGAAAATTTCAATCAAATTTATTTTAATAAATGATGAGTCAAATTCTATTGTCAAATAAAATAATTTATTTCGATGAATCTCTATAGAAGACATGTTTGGAAAGTATATTCATCTAAAATATTCTTTTTCATTTCGTTTTAGTCATTATAAGAAATAAAATATTTGCAAGTATTTTAGATTTATCAATGGAATGAAATAAAAAGTAATGATTATTTCAGTTTATTTAAAGTATAGTTTTATGCAATTGAGATGATAGATCTTCATTAAACTCAATACTTTTTCATTTGTTTTACAATATATATTTGTTTACTAAATAAACTTATTCGGAGTCATAGATATATTGATAAAACAAATGAATACCGAGCTGAGATTCATGAGAAAAAAATAAATTTATAAAAAGCGACTGTTGATAGTGGTAGTTGTTTGGAAATCTAATAAATAGAAATTGATTTTGAAGATTTCTGGAAATAAGCTAAAATAAAATATTAAATGAATTGTTTATCAATAATAGATTTTAATTAAAACAAATATATTTATATTGTAAATCTATAGTTTGCTTGGCTTGGTATAATTGAAATGATTCTATTTGTTATTGGAATTGGAATTTTCTTGATTCTTCTTCTTCTTGCATTCACTTCTAGCACAAACATAAATAATCATGTTGAGAACAAAAATTTCACCATTGATCTTTCAATAGGGATTTTCGTCGTTATTATGATTTCCATTGCTTGTTTGATTCTTACAGTAACTAAATTATATCTTTCATTTATATTTATTTTATACTTATATAAATTTTTAGATAATTATTGTAAAATTGTCCTTCAAATTGGCTAAGTAAATTGAATCAAAAAAATCTTTAACCATACAACAAATCTAACTTTTCTTTTATTTGTCATTATTATCATTTGAACTTCTATTCAGTTTGTTTTTGTTTTTGTCGTTTATCATTTATCATATCTTTCTTCTTTTGAAACTCTATAAATAAATGTCAAAGATCATTTATTTATCGATAGATACGTTTAACTGAATAGAAGAGTTATTTATATATTTAAGATAAATCTCAGTCTGTTATACTTATTAAATAGAATAAATATCGATGAAACTATCTTTATATAGAATAAACATGATCAGTGTCATTTATGGAAAGGAGTGGATGTGGATATTGGTGCAAGTACGGATATAAAGAAAGTCATCACTTATATCATACTCACAGCCACACCCTACATTATATGATTAGAATATTATATTATATTATTACGTTTCTTGTTTTATTCTTCAAAAACATAAAATGATTCATATCAAAAGTTTTTCGGCATGACAAATAACTTTTTATATTTTTTCATGTTGCTAAATATACATCATTTTTTGTTCGTTGATATTTTTATTATCAAGGTCGTTTTCTACTATTTTTATTCTTTTCATTCCTGCTTTCGAATAACGCGATCGTTATTGTGAAACGTCAAATAGTGGTGACTCATAAGTATCTTTTGCGTTCTGCGGCACAAAATATACTCATTAATCGATAGAGCATAATATATATAAAACGTATGCTCTATAAAATAAATGATATCACAATAAAAAATGCTTGTTATTAATTTGTATGAGAAGATATAATCAATGTCGAAACTTTTCTATTATGATTGAAATTCATTTTTTAAAACGATGATTCCAAATAATATCCTTTACATAAGTATATGCCAACACGCTGTTCGCTATTGTAACATAAGAGTTCATCAATATAATTGTTAAAATGTATACAAAGAGATTCACAGTTACATGTCAGTTGAGAATAGTAAAGTATACAAAAATAAAATATAGAAAAATGAAGTTATATCGTTGGATTATATAATGATATTATATCTTTTACAATCCAAGAACTGGATGACGCCGTTTTTATGCATTTCATGTTAATCGCTCTTTAAAAACAAATATCCACTTAAAAAAATACAAATATTTATGAATTTCTTTCTTGACAGCCACAATAGATTTACATACCGGGAGCAATATACAGACCGCAACATTTCGTATTTCTCAAATATCACACCATAGATAAGTCACATAGTTCTGATTTTTTGTGTTAGAAGATGCGCCGTGAAAAACTGTTCAAAAACTGTAAGAATAAATTTCTATGGATTTGTTTGAATGGTATCTCCTATATCCAAAATTTACAGGTCACATAAAGGTGCTATGTCTGACCAGATTTATCATGATAGAAATATTTGGTAAGCTATTTTGGTTTTGCAAGGAGAGCTAGTCCATACCAGGGCTGTCAACTGTACCCCATTTTGGGGTACAATACCCCATTTCGTTATTTTGACCCCAGGAAATTCTGTACCCCAGGGGTACACTTTTTGTACCCCATTTAGATATTTGAGCTTTTATTGCTATAAATAAGTCTTTGAATCAAAATCAACTATATTTTCGATACACCTTACATCATCTTTCTAGAGTCATTTGCATAGGATAATATTGATAAATAGTTGAGAAAGGCAAATTAGCAAACATTTTATTCATTTAGTTTTCTCTTAACCTTTTCTGTGTCGCGAGATTGATTTCAATCCCAAAACCCAAATAAAGTTTGACGGCTCTTCCACTTTTTGTCTTTGTTTTATTGTTTTTATCAGATCTAACTGACACATAGTATTTAAAAAACTAAATTAGATTTAGGTTTCTACTGAATGAAAAATAATATCAATTTTCATTGGGATTCCGGCAAAAAAGCTGAGATTCAAATTTATGAAGAGTCAGAATCAGGAACGATAGCAGTTCCTGGAACATCCTGTAAATCTATTGAAATAATCGACTGCAAGTGTCACAGAAAATGTGACGATAAGAGGGACAGCGGACCCGTCACAATCCCTATTTTGAGAAAATACACTCTTTCTCGACAAAAGTCTTTTTTCTTATCGAATAACAGTGTAGAATGAAAATGAATTCTGTATCTTATACTTTTAAAAAATGACAAGTGCACTTTTCAACTTCTTAAAAAATCACTTTTGCATATCTTCCCACGGTTTTTTTTCTTGGGTATTTTATTTCCAGTGCCCCTAATATGTACTGTTTCGTCCAAAATGTAAAGGTAACGAGGGAACCTCCCCAGCTGTTCCCTTTCCATTTCAATGATTTTTTGTCTGTAGATACTACATAGTGTGCTAGTAAAAATCCTAAAAGAATTTCGACTCCTATTGAGATTTAGCAAAGTTATTGAATTTTTAATATATCTAATCATTTAGGACCCTAGGTCTCAGGAAAAGTTGTATTTTCGAATTTTCATCTGAAACTTTATCCATTTAGAGATCTCCAATAGACTAGCTTCTATAAAAAAAATTCAGAAGTTTTTGAACAGAGTTACTTCCAGATACAAGACTTTCAAAAAATGTATATTGTATATTCTATTTATGGAAAAGACCTTATATCCAGAAAATTTAACATCTTCGAGAGACTTTGTTCACAATTTCTGAATGTTTTTTATGGAAGCTAGTCTACTTGATATATCCATATGCATAACATTTCAGATCAAAATTCAAAAATACAACTTTTCCTGAGACCTAGGGTCCGAAATAATTAGACATTAAAAATCCAATAGCTTTGCTAAATCTCAATAGGAACCGAAAGCTTTTAAGGGCTTTCACTAGCACACTATGTAGTATCTACAGGCAAAAAGTCATTCAAATTGGAAGAGAACACCCGAGGAGGTTCTCTCGTACGCAATATCTTTGACATTGTTCTTTTTCTAAAGCAGATCTCTCGACTCCTAGCGGAGGAACTATATGATTCACCGACACTCCAAGCAAGCTACTCGTTAACGCATCGTCGAAACTGAAACTAAAGAAAAATGTACTTCTTTCTACAGCGGAATCGTTTTTAAAGTAATGCTGCTTTCTCAAAAGACCCTTTTTTGGCTGTTTCTCACCTACCACAACTCTGTTTCAGAAGAAAATGAGGTACCCCAATGGTGTACCTCATTTTTGAAAAGATTTGTACCCCAACTGTACCCCATTATAAATTTTCTGTACCCCATTTGAAAATTAGGAGTTGGCAGCCCTGGTTCAAAATTAAAATGGGCCATTAGATGCAGCATGAAAAGCTCTACAATTTAGATAGGAACGCCTATTTTATCTTTGTCCTTTTTGTTTTTAAAATGAACAAAGTTTTGAACGAACAATTTTTGATGTTTCGAAAACAGATTGCACAGAATTTTGCGCTCTTTCGAAAACAATTACAAAAAGTTTTAGTGCACAGATTGTAGAGCTTTTCACGCTGCATCTTCTAGTGTATTTTGTTTTACTTTTATGAAGCATATCAGAAGAAGAAAGATGAAATAACAAAAAAAATGAGTTTGTCGTTTATCAAAAATTAGCTTTTGTCACTGTAGCAGTTCAATTTCTCCAAACTTTGATCCATTCGTAGATAAAAAGTGCAACGATAAAGTAGATGATCTTACGTAAATTCTAGAACTTTTCGTGCTGCATCTAAGGTCGGCCGTAGTTGGGTCGAAAAGAAAAATATCGAAAAAGAGTGTAGAGGAGGAAAAATGTCGAAAATAGAAAAAATATCGGACAGTGATTCTCTGATAGATAGTGATTATAATCACCTATAATCTGTTTTCATTTTCCTCATTATTCGATTGGATTAAAAGTATAACAAATGGTAACTACGATGAGTATTATCGAATAAAGAGAGCGAAATAATCAGAAACAACTATACACCTGAAAATCTGTAATCATGACAACAACTGCTCCATTTTCATCAAATGAAACTGAACTATCATCATCAAATGTTTCATTTATTCAATCACAAAAAGGAAAACCAATGCTGGTATTAAATAACTATATTTTCAAATTGAACAAAACCACAACAAGTACAAAATACTGGATATGTACATTTGATGAATGTTTAGTTAAAGTTTAGACAAATACGAATGACAAATTGATTAAAATGGTTGGTGAACATTGTCATCTTGAAGAATCTGAAAAAATTGATATACGTGTATTTCGAGAAAAAGTCAAACAACGAGTGATAGATGAAACAACACCAGTTCCACGTATTTATGATGAAGAATGTGCTAAGACACCATTATCAACTGCAGCAATAGCAGTATTACCAAGTGAACGTGAAATAAGTAAGCAAATATCATATTGATATATTCAATTTAACAGATTTTTTTATTAAAGGATACTGCATTTAACAAAGCTCGTCGTGCTGTAACATCAACAATTCCAACAACACAACTATTTAATATACCTGATCCATTTTCAAAAACATTAAGAGATGATAATTTTATAGTTCTAGACAAAATGATTACACGACGACAACGAATTATTCTATTTGGAACAGTTGAACAACTGAAAATGCTTTTTTCGTCTGATCTTGTACTTATGGATGGAACATTTTCAAGCTGTCCAGTAATGTTTGAGCAACTTTACACTTTACATTCGATAAAATTTGAACAATGTAATTTATCAATTTTTTTCTCATTCACGTATACCTATCCAATTCTTGATTTAGCATCCCCGGCATTTTTGGTTTGTTGCCATCTAAACACAAGTGTCTATCAATTTTTATTTCAAGAATTAAAATCGATTGCTATACAAATGAATTTGAATTTTGCACCTTCAACTATAATGACCGATTTCGAACACGCTTTACCTGGTGTTGTTAAAACTGAAGTAAAAAACTTATATTTATGGTAGATATGACGTATGATTTGATGTTTTTATTGATAGTTTGGTACATCAACGCATCTATCATGTTATTTTCATTTTTCGCAGGCGATTTATCGTGCTATACAAAGATTTGGATTTGCTTCATCTTATAATAATCATGTTGATGTTAAACACTTTTGTAGAAAATTAATAGCTCTTTCATTGTTACCAGAACCGATCATTGAAGATACATATGATGAATTAGTAAAAAGTTTATCGCTACCAATGAAGAAACAAATGAATCAATTATTAGAATATTTTCAAGAACAATGGTTTAACAAAGTTCCGATTACTCAATGGTGTGTTCACGGCTTGTCTATGCGAACTAACAGCAATGCAGAAGGTATATATTTTAAATTATCTCTCTCAATTTCCTATTCGTATACTTCATTTAGCATTTCATAGTCGTTTCAATCGTCGTGTACAAATTCATCATCCAAATATATGGTCATTCATCAAGCTCTTGCAAGGTGAAGAAAGTCGTTTTTATCATACGCTTATACAATTTAATGCTGGTTTAGGTGCAAGAACAAAACAAGCAAAAACAATTGCTATTCAACGTCGTATAGATAATCTTGATAAACGGTATTATGATAGTCGAGTTGATGTAATGGAATATTTAAATAAATTATCATTTACAGTAGCTAAACGAAAAAAATAATATCTCATTATTCATTTCTTTTTTTTGTTATCTTCTCTATGACTCATATGATGATGATAATGTTACAGAATAAATAAAGAATATTATGTTAATTAAAATTTTCGACATTTTTTCTTTCGACATTTTCTACATTTTTCTTTCGATATTTTTTCTTTCGACCAAACTACAGCACACCGCATCTAATGGTATATTTTGGTTGTTAATACAAACGTGTTAATGGTTTGAAAACTGCAATGGAAAAGTATCACCAGCACAAATGCTAAGGAAATAAATCTTATCGAAAGTTTATTATCATGATATTAGTTGAAGTATGATCAAATAGCATGGAAAGATAGAGTGAAAGACGCTCTATCTATTAGTAAAAAAAGAAATTTTTTCTTAGCTTACTATAAGGAAATATGTCCTTGACGACACTGCTTTTGGATTGCCCTAAGTATATACGTAAATACCTCAAACAACAGGCAGATACTCCATTATTCGTCAAGTCTACTGATTCAACTTGTGTACATTTCTAAAAATATATCTATATATTGTTCGACGTAAGATTCTTTCAACTTTTTATCTACCCTATCATCACTTAATAAATGTTTCTATTTACTAAGTGTTGATTGACAAGCGTTGGATGGCTATAGATATAAATACTCGCTTGTTTTTTCCTAACATTGTTTCTATCATTTTTAACTATGAAGCTAACAGGTATATTAATTATTGCTTTCTTTCTTGGTCTGTTTTTAACTGTTGTCTTATCGGATATGGAAAATAATGATCTCGATTTCATCGATGACAATCATCTTATATCCAAACGAGATATATTTCATCGTGGACATCGTGATGATCCAGCACAATCACCAGGTCAATGTGTCCCATGTAAGTTTGGTATTGGACGTTGTTGTCATCCAAATATTTGTGTTAAAAAACATTTGCGACCAGATAAATGTCTTCGCATAAAGAGGGGCTAAAATTTTATTTTTTGTAATTTATTTTTGTTTTACGAATAAAAATAAAAACATATTTCCGCTAATTAATTCATGTAATTAAAACAAAAAGAACAAAGTTATAGACTTAAAAGTCGGATCTCATTTCGTTGAAACTTCTTTTTTAATTAGTAAAAAAATAGGAAATCTTTAGAGAACATAATAAATTTTTAAAGTAAATTTTTCTTATTCCTACCTTATTATCAGTATGAAATTATTTTGATGCTTTCATTAATATTGATACACCACCATAATTAATTTCACTTTCAGGAATATTTAAATTTGGTTCGATAACTTCACCTGTCATATAAATTTCTTGTTCATGTTCTCCTAGAACTCTTAAGCCAAATTTAATATCGAATTTAATTAATTCAATTGGTGTTACTTCAATGGTTATACTTGTTTGTAAACCAGTTGAAACAAGATCATTTGTTGGATTTACAACAACACCTGCACATGGACTTGAATCAGTAATCTTCACGAAAAAAAAACAATTTTTCTTTTGATTCAAAAAAAAAAGAAAAATATCAAATAAAATGATTTAATACTTGACCAAAAAGATGATTTATTCCTTCATTAATGATAGCAAACGATTTTTTTGATGTTATATTTATTGGTATCGAACCAAAATGAACACATTTTTCTGGAATTTTAAATTTTGCTTCATTACTTGGCATTAAAGAATTTGTATTTGCTGGTGGTTAGTTCGTGAATCATTTGTCGAAAAAATATGTACAGTAAAAAAAAGTTTTCCAATAGTGCTTGTGTACTATCATACCAAATAACCTCACTATCAATAGTTTGATATGGTTCAGTGGCTCCTAAAAGAAGCTTTTTTTTATTGTTTGTTATAATTAAAATAAACTGTAAGGACCTGTTGCTGGACGAATTGAAAATGTTGTTCCTTTTGAGCCAATAATTGGTATCCAACGAAATTTCGCCGGTGCATTTAATGGATTATATAAATGAACAACTTTTCGAAATGAATCTTCAGCTAAAATATGTGGTAATGAACGTATAAGAAGTTTGTCTGTTGATAATTGTACAGTTGGTAAATAAACATCAATTATAACTTTAACATAATGTTGATAAAAATTATTAATTATATATAATAATGAAAGTTGATAAAGACCAATTTGTGTTGGTTCAAATGTTATTGGAAATTGTACATGAGATTTTCCTGGTATAACTTGAGATAATTGGGATATCATTTTTAATGCAGCTGAATCGACCTAAATGAAATATTGTTAGAAAAAAAAAGTTCCCTAAAGAAGACAAAAAAGACCTACGTCAATTTGAACGATAATAAATTGATCAAGGTTTTTCACTACAGATAAAAATTTTGTGATAGATGCGCTCACACAAACTTCACCAAAATTGAATTCGGATGATCCAGAAAATAGAAAAAATTTTATTATTATTGAAAATGAAATAAATAAAAAACATAACAACAACAATGTAAAATAATAGACTTGGTGATAAAAGTATAGTAGAATTGTTTTTGTCTTTTTGTGTTGTTGGTACAGAATTAAGACCTTCTTTTATAGTTATACTTAATAATGCCTGTTCTTGTTCAGCTAATTCAAATGTTGTTGGTAAACGATATTTCCAATTCGGATAAGATGGAACTTGAATATGAGTAAAAAGAAAATTAATAAATTATATTTATTTTTAGATGTACATCATTTATGAGAAGAAAAAGAAGAAGATGTAAATTTTTACTACATTTACAATCTATTTCTTTTTTTCTTTCTGCATTTTATTTTCGCTATTATTTTTTTTTTCTTGCGTTCTTTCTTCAACTTTTTCTCTTGTCTGAAAAACGTTTATCTAGATAATATAGAATATTTTTTGGATTAGTATACGCTTTGACGCTTCTATTATTAAAAAAAAAAAGAAAAGAAAATGAGTCTGTCATGAGAAGCTTATTTAAGAAATGAATTTTATTGACATGTTTATGATCTTAAATTAAATATTGAACGTGAAATAGGGTGTGGATATGGGTGGGTGTGAGTATCGGTATGGGTGGTTGTCTCTAACGAATGATGTATGGACACCCACATTCACACCCCACATATAGTAGAAGTTAATTCTTGGTTTGAAAGTATGATCAGTAATACCTGTACTATTATGAAAGATTCGTTTAGCATCAAAAAATGGAAGAAACAAGAATATAAGTGCTTAGACCTCAATAAAGCTGATAAAGCGTTTCATTATTGGAATGCTTGTAACGACATAGATATTTCATTTAAAACTGATTCTATATCTACACTTAATAGTTTAGAAGAATTTATCAGAGACTATAGTAATTTTCTTAAAGAGGAAATGAAACGTTCTTTTGAAAATACTTAACAGTGCCAAAAAGAAAAATAAAGATATGTTTAGAAACGTTCGTATACTATTAACTCGTCTTCAAGAAATTTCTAAAATAAAAACTAGATATGCTCGCATTTTTTTTTATTTTGTAAATCAAAACATAGTCGAATACTGGCAACAAGAATTATCAAATTATCACATTGAATTATCATATGAAATAGAAAAACTGTACGTTACGAGACAAACTGTAGCTTTACAGAATAAACTATGGATTGTCAAAGCGTTAAGTAGATTAGATAGATTTTTGGAAGCAAGAAATATATCGATATCTATAATAAATATCAAAATCGATTTCTCTCAAAAATGAATGATACTTCTAGAAAAAAAGAGATATTATTGAAAAATACGACTATAAACAAGTTTCTCATGAATTAGTAAAATTAAAAATACCAAATGATGTAAAAGAATATCTTTATGAAGAAACTGAGGAAACAATTAATCAAAACTTTGATGGTTTGATAGAAGAAACCGAAATTCTAGCGATACTATCGGGTGTCCCAGGAAAAATGGGCCTTTGTGAGTGAGTGTAAGATTAATTCTCCTGTTGAATCACAGCGACACCCACACCCACTAGAAAAATTCCATATCCTTGAAAGAATAATCATACAACAACAACACCTTCATTGTGCCAGAAAACTAGTGTTTTTAATTTTTTTAATCATGGAAAAAAGAAAAAGCTAAAAATAGAGCTACTTAAAAAAAGACAAATTACTTCCTTTCGCACCTAATGACAATTGTATATGTGGATATACCAGCATATTTCTGCTGTTCTAGACTGAGACCGTTGGATTTATGATTTTTTCCAGCTATATTTCCATATATTTTGGTGTTATAATGAAATAGATGTCAGACAACGTTTTTCAATATTGTAGTTCTCTATATTGTCTTTATGAAACGTGACACACATACATATCTTTGTGAACAGAGTATGTATAGGCTCATAGCACATAAATGAATAGCTGATGTAAAACAGAAGTATCGATTTATTAGAATCTTTATAGGTGGGTCCAAGTGGTCCCCCGGAACATCCATGAAGTTCCAAAATGACAACGTCAACGGAGGGTTAATGAAAGTTGTTTAGAAAGATTTTGAAAATCCGAAAAATGATTCAAGTAATGCTTTATTACTTTTTTTGTTTATTTTATTAAAAGTCCTTGCAGTCACTGGTATCGATTCCATTGTGCATGTTCTTATTGATCAACGAGCTTTGTAAATTGTTTTAATGATTTATGAATGACATTTCAACAGTGATAAAAATTTTGTCCTTTTTTTTTTTTTTTTACAAATCAGCTATATTTGACGATTATGATCATCTTGATGTGCATATGAAAAAGGTTTCTTTTCTAGACGAAATTCCATAAGTTTATTTTTAATTTCTATAGATCATAATATCAAAAAATTCTAACATTATCACCAAAACAAGTGGTTTTTATTCAGAAACAAACGAAATGTTACAATAAATACCTGAAATAAAACAAATTGAAATTGATTTAATGAATTTATTTATTCAGCATACAACTGTATCATTATCGATTAATGTAAATGCTGTAAGTGGCGTGCGTGTTGATATGGAAACAATATTTAATGAGCTTGTATCGGAAGATAAAGATGATATGCCAACAACCTGCAGACTAAAGTAAGAAATACTAGTAATCATTTAGTTGATAATCTATCGACAGAAGAGAATGGTATAAATGAAGAAATATGTCATAATGAATGAGGAGAACTTCATATACTTTTATGTTCTTGTACAACATGCACAAGTTTTTTTAAATTTTATGCTGATCGTCTTTTATGTTTAACTGTTAAAGAATAATATGAATTCAATCAAAATTTGATGGTCTTGTTGTCAAGTTATTAACGATTTATGAATAGACGAAGATAAGAATAAAGAAAAGATGAAGATGCGAAAGTAACTTGAATAATATCTTAAATATAATTCGATTAGTCTTCTTTTGTAGCTCATATGAGAAAAGTTGATATTACCATTGATAATAATGGAACTTCGTCAAATGTCTCCTTTCGATTTTAATAATTTTTTTGTCTATAGATACTAAATAAAGTTCTAACAAAAACTCTGAAAGAATTTTTTTTCTAGAGGATCTAGGTTTTTGGAACACTTGTATTTTCGAATTTTGTTCTTAAACTTGGCACATATAGAGAGGCAAATACACGCTGTCACTGGAAAAGGTTCAATTCTTGAAGCGTTTCATATCTCGAAGAGATTTTGTTCGAAACTTATGAGTTTTTTAATGAAACTCTCTCTGCACACAAAATGTCAGACTAAATTTCAAAAAGATGAGTTTTCCGAAAACATGGAGCCTCTAAAAAATGGACATATTACAAATTCTATAGTTGAGTCCAATTTCAATAGGAAAGCAACTGAACAAGTTCCCTTGTAAGTTCCAACTACGATCATACTGTTTTGTACGAATCAAAATTTCATAAGTTGCCGTCCAACAGAAGAAGAGTGAACTTAGAATTTATTCAATATCATTTATCTATATGAAAATCAAAATAATAATCATTTATGGATTGATTAAGTATTTTCACCATATGGCTTTATTGAACAGAATTCTAAAATAGATCTTTCAAATAAAATAATATAATCAGCTTTATGTGATGAAGATCATGAATTAAATGAATAATATGACATATGAATTAGGAGTTAATCAAGGACTTGAAATGACACGAGCCAAATAACTTAATATTTTTGATATTTCATAAGGCCATATGAAGATTTGTATATGAATATATGTATTTTTTTTCTTTTAATTTTAGATAAATAATGTTTGAAAATATATCACCATCTTCTGATTTAAAAGATACGCCATAGAGATTAATTTTATAAAAGAGAATCAACGGTTAATGAAAACAACAACTCCAAATAATAATGAATCTAATAAAACAAATACAACCAAACATATATCAATTTATATTAGGAGAAGTCTTTGAAAAAAATTAAAAAAAGGCTATTGCTATAATAAGAAATCGTAAAACATATATTAGATAGAAAACAATACTCAATAAATCAGTGACGAAATAAAAAAATTAGGGGGTCATTATGCTAACTATAATTCGTCATTTAAATTCATATTGAACTCATCAGGAAATCTTGACAATACTAGAAAAATTCTAAAAAAGTTCGTGCCCATGAGTTTCAGGAGACGAACTATGATTGTTTTACTCAATTCTCGATTTAATATTCAACTGATAGATAATATCTAATCACTTTGGAAATATCCTGAAAATTTTAGAAGTAAAAAATGTTCATTTGTCGACAGAGATATTCGATTTCCAATAGAAATATCGAAATTGAAATTGTCAAAATATGGGATTCAAGTAGCGCTCTTATTATTTATTGTTGTTTTTTGCAGTGACACTACTAAGCAATGCGTCTCTCTAGTTCAATATTTAATAATGTCTATGTCAATAATTGTTAGATATTGTGTATATATAACACAAGAAATTATTGTGATGTATTTTACTCTATTTTTTTTCATCAGCCGAAATTTATAAGTAAAGACAAATGTGAAGCTGCAGAAGATGATCGAGAATGTGAACGACGAAACAGTAATCGTCATCGACGTGAAAAAGATAATCAAACAGATCGATCAAGTACTTCAAGTAATACTTTTCTATTGGTTTTATTCTTTTCGTTTACATTAATTTTCTTCTTCTTTCGACTTTTCGTTAGATGCTGACGAAGAACGTGAAGAAACGGCTGTCAAGGAATGATATCTGGGCATTGCTAAAGTAAAATACATTTTTTTCTTTCATTGATTATAATCCAATGTATGAAAAAAAATATGAAAAACAATTTTTTGGTTGCGACCGTATACCTCGTATTGATATTAGTAAACAAAAAAAAAGAGCAATCGAATTTTCTGGTGACTTACTTGAAAACAACATGCACAAGAAGTAAAAGATCGAGCAACGTAAGTTATCGATATAAAAGAAAACGAAGAATACTTCTTACATATTGCTTATTCTGTAGAGCTCGTCTGTAATCTGATTGAGAAAAAGATGAAAACATTGTTATGATAAATGTCATTGATGAAAATATTCCACATCAGATACCGTCACAGGACAGTTTTTTAATACTCTGCTCTGCCTTAGTATCCATATTTTACCTATGTCAACTTGGAAGAATGTCACAATCAAACTTGGTGTGGATTAAAATGAATCGCTTACCTGACAGCAGCAACGGCATAGAAACTTGAAAATAAATCTAATCTTAATAGATTATTTTCTGGTTAAAAATTGATTCAAAATATTAATAGTTAAATCAAACTATTCAATTTTTAATTGATTCTAATCACCATGCTGATGAAACCCAATTTTCTGAAGATTGAACTAGAAAACTGCAGTTTTTTTTCTGGATTTTTCACCTTAGATAATTACTGTAACAATAGGCTAACTTTTGGCATACATCATGCTTCAAGGTATGATTAAAAAAAGATAGTTACTTATGTAAACCAAAATGGCAATAAATCTAGTCTCTCCTTTTCCACAGAATCAAAAATCATGGTGTTTTTTATGAAATATCAGGTCACTCTTTCAAAAGTGGCCTTTTACAACGGATGAATTTTATGCGAACATATGTCTATACAATCAAAGATCTTTGAGGAAATTTTCTGTAATTCAAATTGACGTTTTTAACAAATACGTGATGCGAAATACCAGGTTTTTCACCTGGAAAAACATCTTTAATAGGAAAAAAAAAAGTGATGTTAATTACGAAAAAAACGTTTTTTTTTACTCGAAAACCTAGTTTTTATGCGCTGAACCTTACGAAACTAGCAGAATTTTTGAAACAAAATTTCGAAAAATTCATGATTTTATGTTACCCTTTGTAAAAATGTTTAGTGGGCAATCTTCTAATATCGAATAATTTTCTATTCTCAGGAAATGTCTGATAAAACCCGACTATCTTCTAAGTGAGTAGATCAAAATTGAATTATAATATTGCCATTTTAATTGACTTTTTAATCAGAAAAAATAAAGTAGAATCAAATTTTTTATTTTTTATCGGCACTGGACAAAAATTTCTTCTCCTGCCTAATGATGGTCTCTGCTCCACACTCATTACGATCATAGGATGAAACTGAATTTGAACAAGGCGTTATTGATGTTATTAAAACTGCTGATGATAAATGCAAAGATTAATCAAGGTTTGCGCAGCTTTGACTCTAGTGACGTGATTCGAAGGTCTAAGATCAATGAGCATCTTTTCTCTAGTAACGAGAGGAGGGGCGACAATGGAAAAAAAAACACTGAATGACATTATCAACAAGACTTAGATTGTTCTAAAATATTTCAAACCCTTCCTTGAGCTTCGAACGGTTAGAATAGTTTGTGAATATTTTAAATAATACGATTTTTTTATTTTTTGTGCAGATCAAAATTTATATTCCAGATGCCAAGAATAATAAGTAATGATTCGTTGATTTGCCATTACTAGTTAAATCAGTAGTTAAATAATAATGAAAAAACGGAATACTAACATAAAAAGCAATAAGACAAACAAAAATTACAGAGCTAGTTTAAAAAAAATTAAATAAGATCGATCATTTCTCTTGTGATTGTTTATCCTTTGAAAACGATAATAATATTCACTGGAGATTTTTCATTTAACTCATTTTATATTCGTAAAGTATTAGAGATTCAAAATTTAAGAAGAAATTTATTTTTGCTTTATTTGGATAGAACTCATGGAGTTACATAGGAAAAATACTATGCTAGAGGTTTGAAAGGTGGCTTTCGCTGAAGAAAATTGAAAATAATGATTTTTTCAAAAACATGCAACATGCCTGAAATTTTAAATATTATGCCAAATCTTCGTGTTTATTGATGTTTTAAAATTTCAAAATTAATTTTTTGTAATTCTGCATGTAAACCTGTATATAAAATAGTGAATAAGCCGTTTTTTGTGATCTAAAATGAACTGTGTCCTCTCAAAATATACAGTCTGGTGCATAATTATAAGACCACTTGTTTTTAAACTAAGCTTAATCAAATGAACCCTATTTTGAGTGATATGACGCAAGTGAGTCATAAGAATACCGATGTAAAATTTTCAAGCACCAGTCCTATTATTTTCATATATATATCGAATTGCCTCCATTTTTGTGGTGCATAATTATAAGACCACGTGATAAGTTTATAGTAAGAAACGAATCACGAGTAACTTTAAGTAAAATTAACGAATCAGATAACATTTCATATTTACGCTAAAGTATGCCCAAAGCAATACAGTTGACGGAAAGCGAGAAAAGGTCTATTTTAGACCTACACCAGAAAAACAAGTCTCATCGAGATATTGCTAACAAAATTAACCGATCGAAGACTGTGATAACAAATTTTTTGAAAGATCCGCTTAAATACGGCACAAGAAAACGAACAGGTCGTAGAAAAAAGGTCGATGAGCGCACCAAACGGCTTATTTTAAGAACTGCTAGTAACAAGTCAATATCTTGTGCCAATATTATTGCCGATTTAAGTTTGAAAATGTCGCGATGGACAATCAATCGAGTCATCAAAAGGTCAAATATCTTGAAAAAGATGAAAAAGAAGCGCTCTCCTGCTTTAACAACTGCACACAAAGATTTACGATTAATCTGGGCCAAAGATCATATGACCTGGAATAATGAATGGCATAAAGTTGTTTGGTCGGCCGAGAAGAAATTTAATTTGGATGGTCCTGATGGTTTTTCTTACTATTGGCATGATCTACGTAAAGAAGAAGAGATATTTTCAACGCGTGCTCAAGGTGGTGGCGGTGTTACGATTTGGGCATTTTTTGGCTGGGATGGTAAAAGTTCAATATGCTTCATAAATGAGCGAATGAATTCAAATGGATATCGAGAAGTACTAAAAAACCATCTAGTTGACATTGGCAATACTATCGGGGGATCTAATTGGATTTTTCAACAAGATAATGCGCCGGTTCATCGGGCAAAAAGTCAATCTTGCTTGGTTCAAGTCGCAAAAAATTAATGTTTTACCGTGGCCATCATTATCTCCCGACTTAAACCCCATCGAAAATCTGTGGGGAATATTATCAAGGAAGGTTTATGCTGAAGGAAAGCAATTTAGGACGAAAGAACAGTTAAAAGTTGCCATACTCCGATCGTGGGAAGAAATTCGCATTGATCAACTTCGAGATTTAGTCAACTCAATGCTTGACAGATTATTTGAAGTTATTAAGTTACATGGTGCAAAGACACGATATTGATCGGCATTTTGAGTTGTTTTTTTTGTATCTCATTTGATCTGGTCTTATAATTTTGCACCACTATAAACTGCATAGATTCAAAAAAAGATAAAACATAAGCAATAAACTCATGAAATTTCACTAACTCCGTACACATGTATCAATGTCTTTAATTTCAAAAAATCAGCTCGATCTGATTTTCCTAAGTTCTAAAAGCAGTGGTCTTATAATTTTGCACCAGACTGTATGTGTGAATCCTGAAAGAACTTTTTGTACACATTGCCAACTTCTCAAGTACTTTTGAATAAATGATGAAAAAGTTATGCATCTGTAAAAAGAACACAATGATCCGTTATTTGGAAAAACAAGTTTTTTGTTATCAATAGTACATCCATTAAAGGTAGATTCATGTTTAAACACTTCGATCAACAAAGTTTTGTTTTCAAATAAAATGCATGTGATGTTCGATATCAGGATAAAAGCTGAATCGAATAACAGAGATCTTATTACAAAATATTTTTCATCGAAATTCGATCTCAATAGGCACCCCAACGAAATCATTTCGTATAAGCCATAGAAGAAGTAGGGATCGAATTTTGATGAAAAATATTTTGTAATAAAATCTATGTTATTCAATTCAACTTTTATCCTGATATCGAATGTCGCAGGGTGTGGATGTGGAGTGGGGGTAAGGATGGATTTGGGTGTGAAAATGAGTAACTAGATCAACCACACCCATACACTCAAATGTAGAATGTTGCAGGACAGAATATAATTCAGTTCAGTTTTAGATTGTCTTGGTTCAGATTGAAATATGGAGACAATTAATTGAAATATTCGAACTATTTTTCATTCGTATCAAAAACACCGTTATGTTGGTCGTGAAAATGAGTCTTCGTTTGCGCATCAAAACAACTTGTCAGAGAAATAAACATGTTTTACATTGTGAATCGCTGTTCTAGCGGCGATTTACGATATTCTACTCTTAATCAAATATGTTTTGTGCTTGTTTGAATTTCATGCCAGAGCAGGCACTGACGTCATCTTGGAGCTGGTTTAGATTTTCCGAATGATTTCCATCTCTGTTCAAATATTTTTGATATGACTTTATACTCCAGTAATATGGTTTTCATTTAGCTTCTATAGATAGTCTGGTTACCAGCAAGTGCCTGAAAATTTTCCAAAAAGAGATCCACGATAACGAAAGATATTTCTCCGCATTTGCTACGAGTAGTTGTCCTTCCAAAGACGAGAAATCTGGCTATCGAATTCAACAGGAAAAACGTCTAGAATCCGATTATTAACGTGTCAGTGTGCTTGTGAATTAAGATAAGTTGAACAACAAGTCACACTTACACTCAGTCAACATACCAATGGGAAAAAAGCAGTGCATTCGATAACAAACAGACAATCAGGGTGTGAATTTCGTGTAAAATGTGTGTAATATTCGAAATCGGTATAATAAGTCCGATCGAATGACATAGACTTCATTAAAAAATGTTTGTCATAGAAACTTGACTCAATAAGACATTCAGGCGAAATCATATCCACTGTATCAGAGTAGAAGGTGGGTTCGAATTTCGATGAAAAAAAATTATTAATGAAATTTATGCCATTAGATCCGATTTGTTATGTTGATATCGAATATAGCATACATTTTATTTGAAAACGAAACCTTGGTAGTCAAAATTTCCAAGTACACGCTCAGTTTTTATTATTCTACTTCTAATATCGAAAATGTTGATTGTCGACATAACAAATTGTTAGTTTTTTTTTCATTGGATGTTCTGCTTTTTGTTCGTTGGTATGTTAAATGTAATCCACTGAAAATTACTTTTTCATCGCCCATACAATAGTACTTGATAAGTTTGCCATTGCGTAGAAAGGCTTTTTATGATACTACTAGTATTTTGAGAAGACACAACTCATTCAAGATCACAAAAAACGGCTAATTGAGATTTTTACACCCTTGAACACGAAAAGTTACAATAAACGCGAGTATTTCGTATAAGATTCAAGTCTTTCTTTAGTTTTTGCATGTTTTCGAAAAACTTATTTTTTTTTGTTGAATTTGTTTCGACGAAAACAAATTTTCATACCTGTAAGATTGCTTTCATTCAAAAAAAAGAGAAAAACAGTTTTCTGCTTAAGTTTTGAATTTCCCACTTCTTACCCTTGCGAA